AAATCAGTCTTGTTTAGTTAGTTTCGAAACTTTTATAATTTTTATTCTTATAACGAGATCGATCAACAGTTCGAAGAGTTATAGTTACAATTTCATTAATATTTACATTGGAATTAAAAAATCTTTCGATTTTAATTGAAAACTCTTTATGTATCGTTTCTCAATAACAAAAATTTTAATGGATAGAGGAATCTTACAAATAGAATCTTTAGAAATCATAGGAAAGATAGAATAAACATTAGGCGGGATGTTTAACGTGTATTAATATCCTCGGAATATTTTTCACGCTGTTCAACGACAGAGTTTTCCAATGTTCTCGTTATCTCGACGAATTCTTTCAACGTTAGTTTATCCTTCATCGCGTACAAATTTCCATATAGAAACCGAGCATCGTTCGAGAATATCTCTCCACGCAGAAATTATCCAATGTACACACGAAATGATTAATAAAACATCCCTTATAAGGAAATCGAATCAACCGGCGTCGAGTTTTTTTCAATTTCGCTTTATATAAAGCATTAACCGCGAGGATAAAATGGTCTCCAACTCGAAAACAAATCCGAATAAGAACTAACGTTGTATTCCTCAACGTCGTGTTTATTATTAACACATGTTGTAAACCCGTCTCATCGAGCTCCTTTTCTTTCTTTTTCTTTTTCACAATCTCCAATTTTTGCAACCGTAAATTTTTAATTCATTTTCGAAAATTTATCAATACCGATCCCTCTCACGAAAACGTTTCTTCGACGACCGGTTATACGTGTCGCTATTTGAGCATTCTCCCAACGATAAACCCATTATATGGCGAACTTTCCCTATCGTCGTCACTCGCGAAGAGCTGTGACGAAATCAAAACTGGGTGGGTCGTTCGAGCAAGGTGTGAAACGCTCGAAGATATTTCGACGTTGTTCGATCGATATTTCTCCGTACAGGCATGCGAGAAGGAAGTTGATCAGCTTTGAACGAAACTGGTCCTGGTGGTGGAACGTGTGCGTTGCTCGCTCAGGGTATCGAGGGCAACCGCGCGTTGTTCTCGCTACGCGGATATCCGCATATCTCTCTCTCTCTCTCTTTCTCGATCTGACGAATATTCAGATCGTCGAGCTCAATCTCAAGTATTCACTCGGGTGAATATTACGTATGAGCCACGTCAATGGACACCTGTAACTCTCTTGTGTCGTCCGTACGTATCCTCTTAAACTCCTTTGTGCTCCGTGAGTCGATACACGTAGGCATTGTCCGGCGATTAGCATGCCTTTATCCTCGACGAATTATCCTCTCTCGACCAAATAGACTTTTCCTTTTTGATTTTGTGTGTTGTTGAAAGGATGAATATACCGTTTTTTTATTTTTTATTTTATTTTTAGTAATATTTTCGGCGATATTCGATCAAAGACGGAAGATTAATTTTCGTCTTGCGAAGGTGTATTCGAATGTTTTTTTTATTAATACTCGAATCCTGTAGGCGGACGTGGAAAGTCCTGTGGATTAGAGGTATGTTATATTCAGGTTCGTGAATGGGTTCTCTCGCGGCAAGAGAAGCGGACCCTGTCTACGAACCCGGACACGATCGCCTGACTCGCGTGTATTACGTTATTACACCGGTGCCGATTCCGTCGGCCGTTTATCTAATCGACCCGGAATCGTTGTATCCGTGCCCGTGAACTGTTTGTAGGTGTATTCAAAAGCTTGGGTTAATTTGATAATTGTTCGTTCGTTGAACCGGATCGGCCATTATCATTCGAATTAACAAGCGTACGAAAATATATATTCGAATATTGGAATTAAAAAAATTTTTTCTCTTTGTAAAAATATAGCAAATATAGCAAAGGTGGTATTAAGCGTAAATATATATTTGAGTGGAATTAAAAAAATTTTTTCTTTTCGTAAAATATAGAAAATATAGCAAAGGTGGTGTTAACAAGCGTAAATACATATTCGATTGGAATTAAAAAAATTTTTTCTCTTTGTAAAAATATAGCAAATATAGCAAAGGTGGTATTAAGCGTAAATATATATTTGAGTGGAATTAAAAAAATTTTTTCTTTTCGTAAAATATAGAAAATATAGCAAAGGTGGTATTAACAAGCGTAAATATATATTCGATTGGAATTAAAAAAATTTTTTCTCTTTGTAAAAATATAGCAAATATAGCAAAGGTGGTATTAAGCGTAAATATATATTCGAGTGGAATTAAAAAAATTTTTTCTTTTCGTAAAATATAGAAAATATAGCAAAGATGGTATTAACAAGCGTATGAAAATATATATTCGAATATTGGAATATTGGAATTAAAAAAAATTTTTCTCTTTGTAAAAATATAGCAAATATAGCAAAGGTGGTATTAAGCGTAAATATATATTCGAGTGGAATTAAAAAAATTTTTTCTTTTCGTAAAATATAGAAAATATAGCAAAGATGCTATTAACAAGCGTACGAAAATATATATTCGAATATTGGAATTAAAAAAAATTTTTCTCTTTGTAAAAATATAGCAAATATAGCAAAGGTGGTATTAAGCGTAAATATATATTCGAGTGGAATTAAGAAAATTTTTTCTTTTCGTAAAAATATAGCAAATATAGCAAAGATGGTATTAATAAGCGTAAGAAAATATATATTCGAATTAAAAAAATTTTTCCTCTTCGTAAAAATATAGCAAATATAGCAAAGGTGGTATTAAGCATAAATATATATTCGAGTGGAATTAAGAAAATTTTTTCTCTTCGTAAAAATATAGCAAATATAGCAAAGATGGTATTAACAAGTGTACGAAAATATATATTCGAATATTGGAATTAAAAAAATTTTTTCTCTTCGTAAAAATATAGCAAATATAGCAAAGATGGTATTAACAAGCGTATGAAAATATATATTCGAATATTGGAATTAAAAAAATTTTTTCTTTTCGTAAAAATATAGCAAATATAGCAAAGGTGGTATTAACAAGCATACGAAAATATATATTCGAATTAAAAAAATTTTTTCTTTTCATAAAAATATAGGAAATATAGCAAAAGTAGTATTCCGACAGAAAACTATATTTGACCATTTTGTAATTTTGTAAAGTGCGCACATTTCTAATGAAATGTTTAATTGGGTATGGCGATCGATTGAGTTTGAGAGCGTGCGATGAAAGTGTTTCACGGTGAATTCATTTTGCAAATTCACGACATGAATTATCGTTTAACCGGATGGATGGCGTGCATTGTCGTTGTTAAACGGATGCTTTGGACACACGCGTCCCTCTTGGGCGTCGATCGTGCGATAAGGAGATAATCGAATTGGCGGCCTAGCATGAAGGTGTAATCGCGTTTTCGCACGACCCACGCATTTTATCGAACCGAAGTATCGAAGTCGTGTAATTTTCTCCCCGTTCCAACCGACAGTTTCATCCGGCCCATTCATCATTCATCGTGTTTATTCGTTTTATTCTTCTTTCTTTTTTTTTTTATGATTTTTTTTTTTTATATATATACGTTTAAGTAAACCGAGAGATTTATTTCCGTTTCGATTTCATCATTATAGCGTTTATAATTCATGCTCTGAAGATATTTCAATATAATATATAATTGGCAATTGTCAAATTATAAGTCGATAATTTATTATAAAAAAATTCGCGGATTTAAAATTTAATAAAAT